CTCACTGCAATGTAACAGAAAACTCTAATTACATGTGATTGAACTGATGCATTATTTAGAAAACGTTCAATCAATTAATGGCGGCAAATTTCCAAGTATTAAAGAGCAATATACCAAACAATGTTCTTTTACATGAATAACTTAATGTTTATTGTCTTATTTCTTTGATCTCTGAGTGTGTGTAGAACGTGATGCTTAACACTGAAAACCCATAAAGTCCACTGACATGTCAAGAAAGAATGAGAAAGCTGCACACTTCTAACGCCGATGAATTTATTTCAACTTCATGACATAAATAAATTACAGATCAATACAAAAGTGGATTGTTTTAATCTAAGTTGTTTTTCTGGTTTGTACCGGTTGATTTGTTGATCAGGTGGACCTGTGATTGGTCTCCTGATTGTCCTGATTTGTATCACCTGTCCCAGTTGGTCCCAGTCAGCTGTACCTGAAGGTTTGTTTGTTGAAACGTTGATAGTTAATAAATGAATTGGAGTTGTGAGTGCCCAGCTTCCCCATTCTTTGTCTTCCATGTCTGCCTGCGAGCCGACGCCTCACTAAAGTAGAGTTTTCCTTTCCGATTTTTAAACGTTGATATCATCCAAATGCATTCGCCTTCACACGACCTCATGTGATCTGAATAGTCCTCGTGGAAAAAGTCATTTTCTGAACTCACACCAGGATTTAACAGCGAGCAGATGAAGACCACGTTAAAAAATGTAGGTTTTTCTCAACATCATCACAGTGTTGGATGTGCAGCAAAGAGGAGCATGTGTCATTAAAATCCCCCCTCCCCCCCACAGTGACTTGATCTCTAAACCTCCAGACCACCGAAATCACAACTTAAACCCCCAGAATTCTGCATGAACTCATTTCTCCACACACACTGACATCATTCCCGACATGTTTACACTTCTGCACAGTGATCGCTCCAACGTTTCATCTGAAGAAGCTTTATGGGACGCTTCATCTGAATTCCGCTTCACCCTTTTATTACAGTCATTGTGGCCGCATGTGAGACAGCACACCTGCATAGAAGTGCTTGGATTTGTCGGTTAGACGGTTGTGTATTTGTTTTAAATCCACCATGAAATGTGAAAGTAATCTCCACCAGATGGCACTATGCTATCCACACGTGTTCCTCTCTGATTCAGGTGGCAGTTGTATGAGGAGCTTTAATCTGAAGTGACTTCCAGTGCTGCAAACATTAAATACGACATTTATGTTTTCATTGTTAGCATTGGTGGGAATTCATGGAAAGCAATTTGTGTTAGAGCAACACAAACAGACTCTGAACGCCACTGATGTCCAACAATATCAGAGCGGGTTTCATGCTCCGGGATGCCAGACAATGTGGGCTCACTATGACTTCATGAGGTCACATTCCTGAACACCTTCCCTCCCGTATTCATCGCTGCGTTATTGTACTTGGCATCCCGCCTCTCGGAGCTTCCTGGCCCGTCCAAAGTCCTCATATTCTTCGGTCTGCTCTGTTGACCTCCTCGCTGTGTTTGTTTTGTAGTCTCCAGGAAGAAGGGCTTTCTTGTGGCTTCTCTCAGGCGCTGCTGGCATGGACGCGCCACTGTGATCTGTGATCCAGATTTGGGAATCCTTCAGCCGGGGATGAACTTAGGGCAAGAGAATCTAAATTTAGGGTCGTCACATTGGTTTCAAACCCAGGAAAGACTGGAGCGAATGTGCTCTCATTGGAAAGACACACACACACGCACACACGTCCAAGGCCGTAATCAGAGCTGTGGTTGGCTGGTCGGGGCGACGACGTGCCGTCTGAGCCTGGCAAACCTGCAGACCGTCAAACTGTGGGATCTGGCTTCGGTCTGCCTCCCTGGAGCCCCAGCTGTGGTGCTATCTAAACAGGGTCCTGGTCTGAGGTATCAGCCAAGGCCCCGTGGCTCTGGTTAGCATTGAGCTAGCTCGGCTCAGACACTAACAGCAGGAACAGCAACCAGGACTGAGCCATCGGAAAGCAGCTCGGGTTAATCTCAGGGTCAGGAAATTAAAAAGATGATAGATGTGTGTTTCAAAGACAACTTTGAAATCAATCACAGGTCAGAGGGCTTTTTATGCTTTTTATTTAGATTTAGATTTGACAGTTTAAAGATGAAGATAAAGAGAGAGAGAGAGAGAGAGAGAGAGAGAGAGAGAGAGACGCAACAAATGTCTTCATCCAGACTCAAACCGCAGACATTGTGGTTCATGGTCAGCGCCTTAAATCACTGGTGGAGACTTTGTTGTCCCTGTTTACACTTAAATAACAGACTGATCACTTCAAAGAATGTCTAAAAATGACTTAGTGTGGATAACCTATAAAAGGACAGAAATATCACCCAACGGCTGAATTGAGACTGAAAACCTACTTTATTTGTCCCTCTTAGATTAGATTACACAGAATACAATCACTGAGACAACAAAACGCAGTTCAGCATCTAACCAGAAGGGACAATATCAGTACAATTTATATAGAGAATAAACAGTAATATAAAGAAGAAATATAGAATGTAGAATAAACTGACTCAATCGTTCACTTAGCGATGTCAATGTGCGTGTATACAGTATCTTTAGTCACGATATACATAAAAAATATATGATTTTTTTTTATTTCATTCATCCCTGTTGTTTATTTCCCCCTTCTGTTTTTGTTCTTAGTCTTACATTACTTATTTATTTTTGAATTTTGTAAATATTCACCTGTAAAAGCACTGCCTTGTTCTGTCTGTGAAGGAAACAATACATATTATAATACAAAAGAAGAGGTAGATATGAATACACTACAATACTTACATTAAGTAGGCAAAATATATTGTGCAGAAGTACAATAATGACAATAGTGAGAATAAACAGCTGGTCTAAATATGCATATGTACGAGTAAGTGATGTATAAATACAACAAGTTACAATTGAGAGCTACAAATGCTATTTATTTACAGCCTATTCTGTCAATAAGCAATACAATTAAACGTCTGTAACTGTGTTATGTTCGTTATTGTAAAGTCTGTTGAGACACTGGCATTCCACACTTATAAACTTACTTATGAAGATGAATAATAGAATAGACGGAGCAGAATTTGGCCTATTGCTTCTATCCCCATTCCTCCACAGAAGTACTTCAAAGGACAGTTAAAGATTTGATTTTCAGTCCAATCCTTTGAAAAGTACAATAATCCGTGTATTTCTACCACATCTCAGCACCACAAACAGCTTCAGTCTCACCAAAACATCGAAACTTTCAGAGCAATATGCCCCCCTAGTGGAGAGAGAATGTCTCACACGCGCATCCCACCAGATGTATTAACATGAATGTATTAACATTAATGTCCACCAGGTGGCCCTACACCCAAAGAAATGCATCGTTTATCATCTTCAGCACAGCCTCTTATCTCCAGGCATGTGAGTAGCATTGATGAAGTACTTACATGCAGACGTTTCTGTCCTCCTCACTCTTTTCATGTGTTTATGTCCGGGTCACAACACCTGAATCACTTCCCCCCCCCCCCCTTCAGTTTCTGACCAAAAAGGAAACATTTACTTTTATCAACCTCGGCGATATGCAAGTAAATTTTCCCTGACTGACTGACTTATTGCCAAAAATAGTCCCCAACAAATCCAGTATTTGCTCCTGTCTGAGTAACGCTACAGTGCTACAGTGACCAGCTTCTTTAAGGAAATTACTGATATTTACAAAAATGTATGAAACTTTAAATTTGTGCCTCATTATTAAAGATTTAGTGTTCTGTAACGAATGGGCACAAGACAGGAGAGGGAAGTCAGACACGTTTTCATGGGATTTGTTGAGATAAATATAGATTAAGGGCAACAAATGAATACATGAAAGTAGAGAAGGTGGAGGAAGCTTTCAGAAGGCAACAAAATAAAAGGACAATCCTGAATGAATGAATAAAAAATGCAGATGCGTTCACACCATTAGCTGCTGGCAGCGCTCATCATATTCCACTCTGGGTCACAATCTCCAGAGAAAGCCCTGAAATAGAAGCGTGTATATTGTTGCGAGGAGTTCATTACAGGAGTCTGAAGATGCCCCGAGGCGGCTCTCCATCAACAGTTGGAATTCCACCGAGCTGCAGAGGACGGAGAGACGCAGGAAACTGGAGATGCCCTGGAAGTGTGAGAGGTGTACACAAAGCGCCGAGGCCTTTGTGGCCGCCTCAGGAATGTTCCGGCATCAACACTTTTAAGGTCTCTTTGATGTGCGCGAATGGTTTCAACCCTTTCCTGTGACAAGTACATGAACCCTGAGGACAGCTGCTGTCACCTGCACACACAAAGTCAAATGTTTCTCCATATTCAGTTATGCTTCAGAGGTGGAACAAGTGCATTTACTCAAATTAATTCATTCAAGTTCAGTTTTGATGAGATTTTCCCCCTGGAGACTTTCGACTTCTCCTCAACATATTGCACTTTCTACTCCACTATATCCCTCTGACAGCTGTAATCACTAGATATTCTGCTCATTAAAAAGGGGCTGAATTCGAAATTCAGAGCAAATCTGTGATTGAGGGGTTGCCTCTATATGGCTCTCAACATGGTGACGGCTGAGCTGGCGGCTAGGAGCTAACAGCCAACAGGCGGCTAGGAGCTAACAGCGGCTAGGAGCTAACAGCCAATTGCTCCCGTAGCTGTGCCTACACACACACACACACACAGAGGACTGGCTACGTAAACAAAGCAGAGAAGCTCAGATTACAACACATACCCCGGTAGAGTGACTTCATTCTCTGCTCAGGACACCATTAATCCACTACATCATTACATAACAAACAGCCGCTTGCCACGATATTAATGTTCTAAATTTCAAATTTAGCACCTTTCAGATGTTGCTTTCAACATGAGATGAATATCGCTGACGTTGCTACATTTTTGGGAATTATCCAAATAAGATTTCAAGAAAAAGAAAGCAAGAGCCAAATCTAAAAAGTCCAGGTGTTGATTAACAACGTGGCCCAGAGTGAGTGAGCACTGCCCTCTGTGTTTATGTAATGAGGGTCAGACAGGGGAGAGGTCAGGTGATCTGCTGTGAGAAACACCTATTTTAAAATCCATGTTAAGAATATTCTGAAGTTTATGTAAACATCAAACAAACACAGGACTTTGATCAGGTGACCTGGGTGAAACAGAAAGTCGACTTATTTTGTCACATTTATTTTTGTCACATTAGTCGTTCGTATCGTGACTCGTTGGTCCCGTGAGTCACGTGATCAGCTAGTCACGTGACTCGTTCATCACTCCGTGGTCCCGTGAGTTGTTAGTCAGTGAAGTTAACGCCAACCACGATCGTTTCCCAAAACTAACCAAATGCTCGTGTTGCCCAAACCTAACTTCCTGAGGAAGTTTATTTTGAAAAGACTGAAATCTGAATATTTTGTGATTTCTGAATAAAAATCAAAAGAACATTTCCAGAAATAAACACTCGTACAGTGCAATATGCAGAAGACAAATATTCCATTTATTGTTTTAAATAAGCAGTTTTCATAGAGTAAAAAAATATAAACTCCTTATTACATATTAGTGTCGTCATTAAGAACTACATCCAGTGGTAAAAGCAGTGGTTATGACACAATACAGTAGTTTATTCAATGTGTTTATAGTGTTGAATCGTCACCTGATTGTATGTGTTGTGGTGTCTTCATTAATACTCACATCACTGCCGGTATAAATAGTTTTAATAAGAAATATTTGCATTCGAGTATGTAGCATTTTTGTGTTGTTTATTCATCATGCCCCATTTTCCCCAAAACGACATTGTAAAGCAGCGGGAAGGTGCAGCATTGACAGATTTTGAATCAATGCAGCCCAATCGCACGGTTCACCCGGTCGACTCTGTGTGAGGCTCAGCCCTGCCGGCAACAGCAGAGAGAGACGAACAGGGGAAACACTGAAGCACATAAAAACACAGCGCGATGGCCGCTTTGTGTCCTACAGACGCTAGAGGGGGCCGTGTGCATCAGTATCTGACACAGAGGGGGCGTCACACAGCGGCGGGATCTGATGACCAACACCAAATAACAACCAAATATGTTTATAACAACCCACCACCTTCACATGATGCTGGATTACAGTGAAGACTTGCTGAACTTCTTTAGCAGAACACCTGCGTTACAATGGAGTAACAGCTGGACATTGAGTTTGAAAGACAACCTCCTCCTTACCAGGCAGGGAGGAGGTTGTTGTGGATATCTGGAGGTTGAAAGTCGCCATACTTGAGGGCAGTACGTAATCGTGGGAGTGCTCCTTTTAACTGTTATTGATGAAGAGATATAAAACTGTCTCATTGCTGCTGAGTTCATGAGGTACTCTGAGGGGATCTTCTGCTGCTGCTGCTGCTGCTGCTGCTTCAGGCCTGCAGAAGCTGTCCCACCAGGGCGGGGCTCCTCTCCCGGATCAGGGCTGACGTGATCTCAGCGACCCTCGATACTGACCTCTCCCAACGTTCTGTGTCCTGAGAGAGAGAGAGGAGGAGGAGGAGAGACAAGGAGGACCCGTAACACTACAGACAGACACTCATTACATGAGCTCAGGACTAGAGACTCCTGCAATAACAAACTGAGACATCTCCACGCACATTCACATTTGTTCACGTTTATCCTTTCTCCCACTAGTCACGACTCCCGTCTGAGTCATCCGTGTGTTTGTACACCAGCAGCATCCAGTTAGCATTAGCAGCCAGTTCAAACTAGCATTGCTCCACTTGTAGAAACAGCACAAGTAAGGAACAGGCCTGTTGGGAAGGAGTCATCGATGTGTTTGGCTGCACGAACACCTCTCACAAACAGTAGATTAAAAAAAAGAAGTGGGCAAGGTTCCGAATATGCCATTTTCTTTAAAAATAACGACACTCTTTAGAATATCCTGGACGCTGACGTCTCTTCATGAGAGAAGAGCTGTGAGGTCAAACACACACACACACCGCACACACTGAATTCACCACAAGCGATCTGATTGTGGAATCAAGGATTCTCTCGTGACTCCCGTGTTATTGTATGTTCAAATCAACAGATGGAAACAATTTACCAAAAGGGGGGGGGGGGCGCACAATTAACTTTCCCTTTTCCCAAATTTGTGTTGATGTCAAGTCCTCTGAAGCTTGTGAACCAACAGGGCCTACTTTGAGATCTATGGTGCATGATATTGGACAGATCTACGCTGAACCACACGCAAGACAAAAGTTTCTTTTCAAGGCAAACTGTACTGTTGTGGTTGTTTTGTGACTCCTCTCTTCTGCATCTCTTTCTTCTTTTGTTCTCGGCAGGCCGCCTGCACGATGCACTTTTAATGGTTTTCACTCGCCTGACTCCATTCCTCAGGCCACACAGCGACTCCCTACTTTGATTTAATTTCTTGATGAGGCCTAAGAATGACCCGTTTTCCATCTTTTCAAAGGCACTGCAGTTCAAGGAGCTTTACTTTTTGTTCCTCACGTAGATTTATGCTTCATGCTCTACCTGGACTTTTTGCACAAATGGATGGTGGACTTTAATAAGGCTTTTGATGTATAGCAGCATGCATGAGGGAGAACATATAAAAAATATTTTCATTTCTTGAAATTTTTAAAAGGTTCGAGAGAGCTCGGCAAAAACAAGATGTTTAACCACAGAAGAAGAAGGGAAGGAAAGACCTGGGATGGATTCTGGTTTCCGCAACGAGCAAATAGTTTCATATACATTAGTTCTGCATTCATAAAACATTAAACCTACATGATCAGTTAAATGGTAAGTCTGTTATTTTTTTTAATATATTTCCACAGTTTTAGCCAACTAATTGTATGCTAAGATTTTAATTCTTGCATGTAGTTTACAAAGAAAACTTCGGCAGATTTACTGTGAAAATTCATAGCAACTTTTCTAACAATGGGTCCTTGTTTTTATTGATTTTGCCCCAAAAAATATATGTATAAAAGGGTCTTAAATATGCACTTGATGAGGTTAAAGCTACATGTCCCAGACTAAAAAGATGAACTCATAACCTTATTTGGCTGGATACTGTAGCATACAAATCTCCACCGAGTGGACCGATTGGTCTGGCATCGTGACATCGGTTCCTCGGTTAAAAAAACGATCGGAGGGGAAAATGATTAGCGAATCAGCGCCACGGGAAATCTGTTGGAGTGACGCCAATTACTGTCAGACTGAAGATGGAAACAAAATGTCACGAGTTGAGAATTCTGTCAGTTATCAGATAAATTAAGAGGAGAGAACTGCTAACGTCACCTTGAACTCAAACAGACAGTTCACAGCTAAGCTGCACATTCAACTCGTAGAATACATATATAGAAGTTTGTGGACTATGGTTTTGAAACCTCGAGTTCGGTATTTTCTTGTTTTCTTTGCAACAAGAAGTGACACGAGAGGGCGGAGCTAAGTATGCTGAATAAGGCATTTTATTTTTAGGCAACCAAAATGTTACGATTAACTTCCATAAACTGAAAAGACACAGAGAAAGTGTTTAAGTTCTAAGATAAATACATTGACAACTCTCAGACCGGACAACTCTGTGGTAGCGACCTGTCAATCACAATGTAGCCCCACCCCAAAGCATCCCCTGCTTTATGGTCTGTTTCACTCTGAATGGACCATAATGTACTAAATGAACATCATGCTGTATTGAAGAAGACTTGAAACTAGAGATTGAGACCATGAACTCATGTTTACAATGTTTACTGAGGGAATAAATCAAGAGAGAAGTAGAGTCATTTCCTCATAGACTTGCTGCCTACATCCATAGTTTGGGTAATAATTTCACTGTTCAACTTTGAAGGTTCCGTCCCCGTCTGACATATTTTTGACGATGTCACCGTGCATTCAGATCTTTCATTCGGAAAAAAAGTCACTTTTAACAGCCGTCACTTTGACCTGTCGTGGCAGGAAAAGTGCAGGTGTAACTAATGACCGTAAGAACGTCTCGTTTCCATTTGGGTGTTCCAGTAAGTCATGACAGCGAGCCAGGACGGACGACACCAGAGACCTTTATTACTTGTGCTGCTACGAGATGTCAAAGACATCTGCTGTGAAAAATACCTTTTACTTTGGAGAGTACAGTGTTATCAAAACAGACCAAAACGATGGCAAAACCTACGACAACTGGATCCAAGTTGTATTAATCGTAATCATCCTTTAAAAATGGGATTGGATTTGACGTCACCGACCAATCTGACACTTTCTCTTCTGGGTCCGTAATCAATTTCATCGTCCAGCTCTCAAAAGGCAGGTTTGCTTAGAGGGAAATAAAATAATTTAAGAGAGATTTTCACAAAGCTTTTAATGTCCTAACATCCACAGAGAGGAACATAAAAGTATATTAAAAGTAAATCCTACTGAAATGACAAAATAGCGATGATTTGTGATCTGGAACATCCTATTCAACATGTCTTCAGGTCTGGCTTCAAAATGCTTTTGGCATTACAACTATGGGTCAGCGGTTTTAACACATTTGGAGGCGAGTGTGCGATCAACTCCAGGAGAAGAAATAAGCTTTTCTCTCACTCCGTCCTTTCTCCATCTTACAGCCTAACTTCACCGGACGGCTCCTAACAGCGCAGTCTGTGCAGGAACCGGACGGGAATGTGACGAGGTGTGAGAGCGATGAGCGTGGAATCGGGCCTGACCGTTATTTAATGGGAGCTAGAGACCCCGGGATCCAAAACTCTCGGAGCACTCCTCCCCTAATCAGAACCAGCGGAGGAGGGGAGTCAGATGACACGGATTTTCCACACCAAACCGACTGAAGGGGGGAACTGGAGTACAGATCAGCGACTCCAGCCTCCTCGTTGATTAAAGCAACGAGGAGGAATGAAAAAAGAAAGGATGATGGAATCAAAATATGATAGCTTTGAATGAGCTCCAGAGGCATTCTCTGTCAGCTTCTACAATCTTTTCTTTTTTTAAATATGCTTTTTAGATCTAAAATTGGCTAAATCTTTGAAGAATCAAAGGAAATGGAGGGAAGGAAAACCAGTGAGGCTTCCCTGTTTTTCTTTAGGATTTACCCAACTCGTTGTTCTGTGGCTTAATCACAAGTATGAGGAGATCCAGTACATCTGTAAGCAACCAACAGAAAGCAGCTGATAGCACAACGTTACCACATATCGTCAAAAATATGCAAAGATTCAACAGTGATCAATGATCTGTGAGGAGCTCGCAGAGAGAAATCAAAGCGTCCTAGAATGATCTAATTGCATCTTTTCATTGTTTACACCATAGGCAATCAGATCAAAGCATTCCTCCGATTGTTATCTAAAAGAAATTGCGTCTTCTCACGCTAAGTATTTCAGATGTTACATGTGTTCGGAGGAGCTAAAACGCCACAGGGATGATAAAAGCGATGAGCACGATCGTCGGTCGATTACCACCCAAGTGCATTGACGAGGACGATGGGAAAGTCACGAGAACGTCGGGTGTCTCGGGCATATTGAAGACAGCTACGGCAATCAAACCACAGCTAATGACTCTATTACAGAGGCCTGTTTTCTTACAGGCAGAACAAAAAAAACAAAGAAATACACGAGTTTGCACACGAGAAAATAAGAAAAAGCAAGTCGAGATCACCAAGGAGGATCAAAGTTCTAAGCCCGTCTAAGCCCGATCGCTGAATTATTTCCAGCCCAGATATGCGGCCTTTGAAATATGAATCATGCTTCATAAAACGGCATTATTAAATCAAGTAGTTGCCTGCACAGTGGAACGCGAATATGACTTGAGCTCTTCATCGACTGGTGGCACAGCTTTAAGTAGTCACAACTGCCACTCAGGCTTCAAATGTGGGGGAGAAAAAAGCAGAAGAAAAGGGGTAGAATTACTGAATGGCAACAAACTCCGAGGCCTCAGAGATATTTGCATATCTAACTGCTTTCAGGCAGAAATCTATCTGAGCTTGTGAGCTGATTGATCACCGCTCACAGTTCTAGTTAGCCTTGACAGAAAAGAGCTGGTACCCCTCCTGACCCGGGCTTTGCTGCCGTTGGCGGGGAGGGGGCATCCATCCAGGAGGAATAAAGCAGCTCGCTAAACAACCGTGCTTTGGAACACGTAAGAGAGCACGCACGCATACGAAAGAGAGTGGGTAGCTACTTCATACCCGTACATGTGCACCCCTGGAATGTGATCCTGGAGGGATTTGCATGTCTCCAGATCATCACAGCCCAGATCATCACAGCCCATCTCCTCCAGCGTTTCCAGTGTCTCTGCCCCCCCCCCCGTGTCTCTTCCAGCAGAATCTTGGAGATGGAGAAACCAGTTCGCAGTGCTGAGACAAACAGAGCTGGAGTTGGGTGTTTGGACACATATGAGATAAAACCTGGAGCGAAAGCGTAACTGAGCCTTTGAGATGAACACCGCGAGCAGAAGAGTCTGATTGATAGAGCTATTTGAGCTAATAGACCTGTTTACGGTGAGGAATTAATCCTCTTATGTTCCACAGACACAAAGATCTTCGTGTGCCAAAGTC